AACACTTTTAATATCACTAAGATATTCTAAAGTATTTTAAGAGATGTCCTAAGCATTTTAAGAGAATTCTGAAAGAAAATAATAAATTAACTGAAAACTCCTCAGATAAAAATTATTTAAATTCTTGTTTTAGTTACCAAAGGAAAAAAAAAGATAGCAATGTTTTGATACACAAAATTAAGTTATAAGTGACAACTTCATATGCTAAACAATGTTTATGGATGTTATTTGAATGGCTAATAACAGAAAGAAAACAAAATGTTTAAAGCCTTTGCCTTTGTGTCTAATAGGTTTTATATCGGTACTTAATAACAAATTTTAATTTATTTTTCATTTTTTCTAGTTTTATTGGGAAATAATTCACACACATTACTGTATAAGTTTTAAGGTGTTGAGTATGATGATTTGATTTGCATGTATTGTGAAATGATTAGCACAATAGGTTAGTTAACATCCAATGTCTTATATAAATAAAATAAAAAAGGGAAAAATATTTATAAGAACTCTTAGCATCTACTCTTTCAACATCATTCCTGTATGTCATATAGCAGTGTTAACTATGCATCATGTTGTATATTATCTATATATATAAAAGGCTAATATGCAGAGTGTCCCCTCGGGAGTTTGACTGAGAGACCAGGAGTTTGATTGCTCGCTGTGATGTGCGCTGACCACCAGGGGGCGGCACAGAATGAAGGTAGGCCCCAACTGGCAGCCGGCAGCCAAGGAAGGAAGGCCCTGGCTGACAGCGGGGAGGCCCTGATTGGCCATGATCGCCGACCAGGCCTAGGGACCCTACCCGTGTACGAATTTTGTGCGTCAAGCCTCTAGTATTCCTAATAATTATTTATTTTACATCTGGAAGTTTGTACCTTTTGACTTCCTTCTTCTAATACTCCTTCACCCCATTCTTCCTCTGATACCCACAAATCTGATCTCTTTTTCTGTGATTTTGTTGGTTGGTTTTTTTAGATTCCATATATAAGTGAGATCATACAGTATTTGTCTCCACTGAACTTTCATTGCAGTCCTATAGCATACATATTCCTAATAAATTTATTTTTTAAAATTGTCTTTTTCAAAAAGTGACTTAATGACCTTTATAATATTTAAGTTATATCTCAAATAACATTGGAATATACAGATGCTAGCCCCCATTTTAAATTTGCATATTCTCTCTAAATTGATTGGTGTATTATGCTTATCTATTTATATAAAAGCCTAAGCGATCTTTATGATCGAACAACTGGAACGACCAGTCACTATGATGCGCACTGACCACTAAGGGGCAGACGCTCAACACAGGAGCTGCCCCCAGCCCACAGGCCCTGATCACCAATGGGGCCTGCCAGCCAACCTCCTGGTCCCTCCCCATGGCCAGGCTCCCAGGCTGGGACAGGGAACCAGGGGTGGGTGGTGGTGGACACGGCCCCTTTCCCAGGGGGACTGAGGGCCAGCTCCCCTCCTCGGGACCGGTGGCCAACCTCCTGGGTCCCTCCCCCGTCCGTCCTCCATCCCTCCCCCAGCCAGCAGGCCCTGATCAGTCCACTGCCTGCCCACCATGGTGGTGGTTGGCCCCTCCCCCCAGCCGGCATGTCCCCATCACCCAATCGGGGTTGGCCCCAGGCTAGGACGGGGAACCAGGAGTGGGTGGCAGCGGCTGTGGGTGGTGAGGGAAGGAGAAGGGGGGGAGGCAAAGAGGTGGGGAACCGTGCAGTGGTGGCGTGCAGTGGCGGCGTGCAGGATGGCGAGGGAAGGAGGGAGTGGGCTGCAGGGAGGTTGGGAATCTGATCAGCCCTGATCACTGGCCAGCCCTAGGGACCCCACACATACACGAATTTTGTGCACTGGGCCTCTTGTAAATATTATAGTAGATTAACTATATTATTTAAATTTATAGTTAAGTTCAATATTTTTATTTGGCAAAGTATTATAAATGTCTACTATGAAATATATTTAGTTATTTTGAACCACATAATTAAGTAGAAAATATTATTACTGACAAAATATATGTAAACTGGATTTATTGAATAGCTTATGAAATACATTGTCTTGTAACTATTGTTATAAGATTACATATACAAAGTAAATATTTGCTAAAGAATTTTTTAATGAAAATATTAGTGAGGTAATTACATATTATTTATGTACTCTGCATTTTGACAGATTTAGAGAAATATATTTTTATTTTATTTAAAAAAAATTTGTCAACCCATAATTTCAGGTGTTTCTAATGTGCAGCCAGAATTAAGAACCAGTATTGCAGACTAGAGCTTTTCAAATAGACTGTGCTTGCAGCCCCCTGGGAGTCGTTTCTGATTCAGTGAGTCTGGAGAGCCCAAGACTGCTTTTAGAACAGGAGATGCTGATGTTACTGATCCTGGGAAAGGCACTTTGAGTATGGAGATCCTTCCAAGACAAGATTCCCATGAAATCCCAAAATGATTACCAAGCAGATAGAAGCTCCTTGTCCAGTTCTCTAGGGGAAAGGACTGCTTTTTGTTTTTTTATTTTTTTAAATCTCTGAGTGTGCAAGGAAAAAAAAAAGCTGCCAGTAGAACTCTAGGTCCTTCATGCCTGTTCTAGAGGGAGCAGCCTGGAGTGGGAAGAGAGGAAAAAAGCTTCCCTTACTCCTATCCCCCTCACCTCCTGCCTTTGCTATATTTAATCTTACATATGCAGGTTTATTTTGTTGTTCTTGTTCTGTGCTGTCCCTGCCACACCCCTCTCCCTTGTACACTCCCCCACCCCAGCCCACCGTCTGTTAACCCTGCCGAGCCTGAGCTTAGGCCGGGTGCAGCTGGCTCCCACTACGTGACTGCAGCTAGGTCACTGCAGTGACGCAAACCCCCAGCTGCTGAGAAGCTCACCTTTGGCACCAGTGTCAGTCCCTGAGGCCTAAGTGAAGGTGCTGTGCCCACACAGGCTGCCCCCACCTGCATCCACAGTGGAGTAGGCCTGGCCAGGCACAAAGACAACACCTGTGCTGCAGGGCTGGCGAGGCCTCAGCCAGAGGGGGAACCTCCTGCCTAAATATTTTGATGATAGTGTTTTTATTGATTAGCCATACAGTATTAATTAATTTATTATCAAGTTACAGAAGAGACTGTGTTGTTGTTATTTAAGTACCACCAATCACAGCTTAATAGATACTGCATAACCAACCATTTACTAGTAATTTTACTGTACAGAATTGATCATTTTACTTCTTAATTATTAGATCATTTACAAGAAGTATTTTTATAAAAGCAAACATAAACTATCAAAAATAACAGTTATAACGTGTGTGTGTTTGTGTTCATGCCTAGTACATAGTGTATTTCTACTATCAATAAAATTGCATTCATTTAGATTTGTACAAATATTCATCAACATATGTACCTACAGTAAGGTAGTTATTTTATTTTGACTCATTTAGGTAGGCTTTGATTGCTGCTCCGGCCGGAGCAGCGAAGGCTTTGAAGGCGGCTCTGGCCGGAGCGAAGGCCTGGGTCCCCGGTGCCGAAGGAAAACCGGTGAAGGCAGCCAGGGGAAGGGAAGGCCTATTGCATGAATCTTTTCGTGAAACAGGCCTCTAGTTTATTTAATATTTGTCTACTCACTTTTTAACTAATTCAAAATTTTAAAGTACATTTATTTCAATATAATAAATAGAAAAGTTATGTAACTAAAAAGTCATCGCTACCAATTCAATATCAACAAGATTCCCAGACTTGGGGTTTGGTGAACTGGGAGAATTTATTCAATCAAAACAAATCAATTGTGAAACAGTGTGTCTGTGAAACAGTTCAGTTGTTTAACAGCATGGATATGGAACAGCACAGCTTGGAACAGGCCGGGGAGGTAGCCCACGCAAGGAGGCTGCAGTGTCACAGCTCCCATGCCACAGCTCTGCTCAGACAAGACAGCTCCACTTTTCCCCAGCGAGACAGCTCCTCTCCAGTGTTACAGCTTCTGCCAGGGAAACACAATTTTCAATGGAAACTAAAAGTGTGCTCCAAGAGATAGAGGGGAGATTGACGCAGAAGTTTCCAACCCTTGTCCCTGATTGGTCCATTTCTATGCAAATGAGAACTCCAAATACTCACGGTTTGCTTGGTCCAAATAGCAGCATCCTCATTGGTCAGATGGAGCCATTCTGATTGGTTGGTGAAATGCAAATGCGGATATAGCTGCACAGCTCTGGTTGCATTGGGAAAGTCTCGGTCTTATTGGCAGCATTTTTATCCTAGGAGCTCTCTCACAAGGGTCTACTCAGAAGGCAGGAGCACAGTACAGCAGGCTTGGCAGGTTACTCTGTGGCTTTTCACAGTGTGCATGAGAGGCCTCTGTCAACAATGGCTGCTAGACTCTGGTTATAAATTTGGGCTTGATTAACCATAAGGAGCCCTTCTTGGCAGGTATGTTCTTATCGGGGTCAACACTTGTTTGCCATAATAAATATAAATGATTAAAAATAAAGTAATATAGTTATCAAAATGATATCTGGATCTTGCTTGCTAAGGTCTCTGAATATAAGGCCAGCTCTCATTTTGTTAAAAAGGTTTTTATGTTAGCCCTTAAGAAAGGTATTAAAGATACCCAGGCACCACCCTGGGACTTTGAGTGTTCAGAAGGACTGAGGAAGAAATGGAACATAAATACATTTTTAACAGTGTGGTTGAATGTAATTTAGTGCCATCTCTCAGGACTCCACAAACGATTTCCTTTCCTGCTGGTTATGGACATCCCCACACTGATAAGCACTACTGTTTTGTGTATGTGTGTTTGAGGTATGCATTTAAAAATTAGCTACCTAAAGTAAAATGTAAAGTCACTGTTGTGTTACTAATTTTGAATAACTAATTTAATTCATTAATATTAACATATGTTGACTTTTCTGTGTATGTGTGACATTGAACTCTGATATCCAAAGTGTATTTAAATTAAAATATGTTGTACAGGTGCAAATAAAAGAACTCTAGCAATAATAACAAAAATTATTTTTTCTATTTTTACAGCTTGCAGACCAGGATTCTATAAAGCATTTGCTGGGAACACAAAATGTTCTAAATGCCCTCCACACAGTTTAACCTACATGGAAGCAACTTCGGTCTGTCAGTGTGAAAAGGGTTACTTCCGGGCTGAAAAAGACCCACCTTCCATGGCATGTACCAGTAAGTCTATATTTTGCATTTGGAAATCCTATTTCAGACCCTTTTGGCCTCTATTCTAATATTTTTAAAATGTAGATATACAAAATTATGTACTATCAATGCTAATTGTCTTTGATAACAGTCAAGGAAAAAGTTTTTCTTTATTCTCAGCAGTTTTTAACTCCTTGCAAAGAATGTGTTTACTCATCAAAATTCACATTTATCCTTCACATGCAAATACCAAACACTGGTTTGGAGACCTGTAAATTTTCCCTAACCATAATCAGTCCTTAGGAAATTAAAGTAGTTTAAGGCTGCCTGAGAATTTATAAGCAAAACTTCTCTTCTTTGCTTCCACCCTTGACCATTTTTTTAGGCAGTTCAAGTTAGGACGATCAAGTTTTCCATGTGAAGAAACTTCCCCAGGGGACAATAGCCATGGTGCTATTGTTATGTGGAAAAGTTTTGAGTTTTCTTTGACATTTTTCTTTAAAGGAAGATATTTCTGAGTTTGTTTACATTTCATCTCTCACTCTTTCTCCAATTTTGGGGTTGGAACCAGTAGATTTAAATCTAAATGTTAAGGTCATTTTAATGCATACACTAAGAATTTTAAATTATTTGTATCTGTTATTAAAGTATTGTGAAATATCTGTACATTATAAAAATAAAAATGAATATATTAATGCATTGCTAGGCTATGCAAAAGTAAAATGTCACCTCTTAGATAGTTATAAAAATCTTGTTAAATACATGAATAAGATAGTATAGTGACATTTTGCCCATATTTTTGATGAATTGGTGCCAAAATATTACTTATCTTGTATAATTCTTAGAGGCAAAAATATATTGAAAATTATGTAATGTGACATATTCCTTAGAGGCAATAGATATGTCCTATTTTTTTTAACTAATACAGTTGTTAGATTTGTCTGTATTACTACTGACTTTCATATAAAATATCTTTATGAACACATTTAATAAAAATGCAACACATTCATTAATAGATGTAATTCTTACTTTTTTGCAAATGCTGAGATACTACCTTATTCAGAAATTGGTAGCCTGGGAAATTACTACCTTAAAATTTTTCCCCCTAAGGAAATATTTTAAATTTACAAATAGGAAAAAGAAAATTCTAAATATAATTTCTCAAGTGATTTGGAAATAGTTTTGAACAGGAAGAGCTTGCTATTACTATACACAGGCAATCCTTCTTGCACCGTTTGTGTATATCATTATGTTATATTGTGGATAACATACACCAGCTTAGATAGATGGTGGGGTTTGAAATAGCTACAGTAATACCAGGCAAATATCTCTCAAATCCTGTATCAGAAAGTGAATGGAGCTTCTCATATGAGTGATAGAAGAGAATATCCTCCCTTTATTTTCTTAGGTCATAAATATACAGTTGACAAGTTGAAGGAATATATCAGGTCTTATTATTATAACCCTTCAGTGAGGTAGCAACATAGGTAGTTTGCAAGACTTATGGTTCTTTGGAGCAAGAGACTAATTAAGAAATAAATAGGGATGCAACAAGGTCTATGAACCTGGCAAACTAGTCAGTCAGTCATTGTTGATTCAGATATGTATATTTACCAGCTTAATGTTTTATGTTTTCAGGATTTTCTTTCATTTAAAAAAATCTTTTTTTATGCTTGATATTATAAATTACTAGAGGCCTGATGCACGAAGATTCGTGCAAGAATAGGCCTTCCTTCCCCTGGCTGCTGGCACCGCCTTCGCTCCAGCCCGGAGCTGCCTTTCCACCTTCTCTGCAGCCCGGAGGCACCTTTCCACCTTTGCTCTGGCCAGAGCTGCCTTTCTGCCTCTCACCTTGTTGCTTCAATTTGCATATTCCCTCCTTATTGGCTGTGGGCGATGCCATCTTTTTCACGAAGTTACAGTCAATTTGCATATTCCATCTTTATTAGATAGGACGTGCTTAAAATGTTTGCCTGCCTTAGCTGTACTAAGTGCAATTCAAAATTGTTTAATTCTGGTCATTGTTGGGCAGTGCTTTAGGCAGGGAACAGCATTCTATGTTGCCATCAGGGATTAAAGATAGAACTGTCCCCAAAAAGTTGAAAGCTTTTGTCAGGTCTCCTGGTCCAGTCCTAGGAGGCTCCCCTCTCAAGGCTTCTCCCTACTTCTTTTCCCTGTTTTAGCAAAGACTTAGCATAGTGTGTTAGTAATTTACCATCTTTTAGAGTCAAATTATCTGAGTATAAATCTTTGTTTTGGTGCTTTCTAGGTATGTAACCTTGGACAAATTATTTAACCTCTCTTTGCCTCAGTTGTACCATTTGTAGTGATCATAACAGTACCTATTTCATTCTTTTGTTATGATGATTAAGTTAATATTTGAAAAGTGCTAAGAACAATACCTAGCACATAGTAAGTATCTGATGTCAGTAAAGTTTTTGAATTACACTCTGATTAGATGAGAGGCCCTTATTGTTATTGCAGTATATTCAGGAAAAGGGAGACACATAAACTCCAAAGCATCATAGCTCATAAATATTAAAGGATTAGATTATTGGGAAAGAAAAATCAGGAAAACAACAAGTCAAGAGGTCATTGAACAATTAGACAATTAGACCCTGGTCCTTCTTAAGACGACCACCAGGGTTTACCAAGACACAGTACTTGTGAAGCTGCAAATCAAGCAAGTAGTCAACCCTTCCTATCTTCCATTAACCACAAACAATATTCAGATTTTAATATCTGCAAGCTCCCTTGACTTCAAGATCATATATCTACAAATTAGCCATTCTTTAATGCCTTTATTCCAATTGTGTATTATACAAAGGTCAGAATTCGGGTCAGGTGAACAGTCAATCCCATCACTTTCTGATAATTTTTGTCAGTGTAAGCCTTTGAAACTGTTTTTAGAGAATTTTCCAGGGGTTGAAAAGGAGGTATCTTTTCCCCTTAGTATCAGGGGCAGGGACATTTTGAATGTATGAGTTTAAAAGAAAATAAAGGAGTAAAATATTGGGAATGACTAACCAGGAATTTTGGCTGATAAACAGCATAGTAAGGACAGAGTTCATATAGGTATTTTGTATGATTATGTAAATGATATGATTTTAAGGACTCTAAGGAAGTCATTCCCTGCCTCTTAGTGCCATCAACAACCCTTAAGTTTCTGGTACAACAATGCATGTGATTTCACCATTAAGATTTCTAATGAACAAAATAAATAGACAAACAAAAAAGAAACAAACTCATAGATGCAGAGAACAGACTGACTGTTGTCAGAGGGGAGAGGGATTGGGAGGCTGGGTGGAAAAGGTCAAGGGATCCAGCAGCACAAATTGGTAGTTACAGTATAGTCACCGAGATGTAGATTACAGCATAGGGAATATAGTCGGTAATATTGTGATAAATATGTATGGGGCCAGGTAAGTACTTGAAGCAGCAGGAGGACCACTCTGTGAAGTACATGATTTTCTAACCATGTTGCTGTACATATGACACTGATACAGAATAATATTGAATGTAAACTGTAATTTAAAAAAATATATATAACAATAATTTAGCATTTGATAGCCCTGGCCAGTGTGGCTCGGTTGGAGCATTGAATATTGCTTTCTCTCTTTCAATACAGAGATATGTGTCTTTTTTTATTTCATGATCTTGAAACATGTAACATACATAATTTATTTAAATAAATATTTTTTTAATATTGTTTTCTTTTAGGACAGTTTTAGATTCAAAACAAAATTAAGAGATAATATGGAGATTTCCCATGTATCCTCCTACCTCTGATGTTCATAGCTTTCCTCACTATCAACATCCTCATCGGAATGATACATAGGTTACAACTGATGGATCTGCATTGACACACCATAATCACCCAAAGTCCATAGTTTACATTAGGGATCACTCTTGGTTTGTACATTCTATGGATTTGGACAAACACTATAGCATCGTACAGACTATTTTCACTGCCACAAAATCTGTGCCCTGCCTATTCATCCTTTCCTCCCACCAACCCATGGCAACCACTTATCTTTTTACTGTCTCATTCATAATACAGTATGTAGCCTTTTTAGACTGGCTTCTTTCACTCAGTAATATTTATTTAAGACTCTTCCATGTCTTTTTAATGGCTAGATAGATTATTTGTTTTTTAGTGCTGTCTGGGTGTACCTCAGCTCATATATCCAGTTACCCACTAAAGGACAGCTTGGCTGCTTTCCAGTTTTGGCAATTATGAATAAGCTGCTAAACATGAATGTGTAGCTTTTTGTGTGGACATAAAGTTTTCAGCTCCTTTGAGTAAATATCATGACATGTGACTGCTAGATTATATGGTAAGGGTTTGTTTAATTTTATAGGAAACTACTAAATTATTATTTTGCATTCCCACCAATAATGAATGAGAGTTCCTGTTGCCCCACATGCTTGCCAGCATTTGATATTGTCAGTGTTGTGTATTTTGGCTATTTCTAATAGGTGTGTAGTGGTATCTCGTTGTTGTTTTAATCTGCATTTCCCTGATGACATGCTATGCAGAGTGTCTTTTCATATGCTTATTTTCCATCTATGTATAAAGTTTTTGGTGAGGTCTCTACATAATGATTTGTAGATGTTTTGAAAAGTTGAAACAAACAAAAAAGATGTCTCATCATCATAGCTAACCTCTTGAACAGTTGTGTTGGTGGTGGTGGTGGTGAGGTAATCTGATCCTTGAACTTTATACTGGCCTGGCTATCATGGTTAATTTCCTCTTTTGACTTTTTTTTTTCTCACTAACTTCTGGCTCACAGCCTGTAAGTACACTCAAACTTCTATCCTTTAAAAAATGCTCCCAATCCAATATTCTTTCTCCTCAAAAACACATCTTGGAAAAGCAGTCTTCACTGGCTATAGCTATTTCTTCGCTTTTAATTTAATTTTCATTCTACTGCATTCAGATTTTTGCTCTTCACTCTACTGCAATCAGGTTTTTCTTCCACCACTTCAAGTATACTGTATAAGAAAAATTCACCAATGATCTTATTTGC